CATGTTCTCCAGTTACCTCCCGACTTTCTGAGGCTGTGGGTTCAGGAAAGCTGATAATGAAAGCTGTTTCACCCACCGTAGACCATGGCTCTGGCCTCCCCTCCAACATCTCTGCAGGGCGAACCCTCACGTAACAGGGTAGCCCAGGGCAGGCCAGTCCAGGTCAGGTCACAACTGTGATCCTGCATGAGCAGCTATACCCCCTTGTCCCTTTTTCTGTGTGCATTGGCGAGTGGAAAAGGTGGCTGGGGGCTTCCCAGGCAGGAGTAAATTGTTAGGTGTTGGAAGCTTGGTTGGTCCATCAAGTGTCAATCCCAGGTCATGGCTGGTAACATGAGAAGGTGAGTGCTGAGGACCAAGCTCATCTACTAATTTGTAATTCCGGGCCCTCCGGGTGTCTTTCGTTTCCTCCCTGGCTGCCCCTCTATGCCTGATCTGGGAGCAGAATTTGTGGAAGGACTTCTCACTGTGGTGATACCTAAGCTAGCCCCTGATGTCTTTTGGCCTGTGTACTGGGCACTGTCTTTACAGAGCTCCATTCAGGAGATCATGGAGGAGCTGGTCTGAGGTGAGAGTGGGTGCAGATGGTTCTCTACCCCCAAGGCCCTGAAATGGCACAGGCAAGCCCAGACCCCAGACCCCAGACTCAGATCTGGGGAACTTCCCAGGGCCCTCCAAGGGCTTTCCCACGAGAGTAGCCCACTGTCCCACTCCCAAAAGAATGTGCACCTCCACTCCTGCCCACCCCACTCTGTAGCTAGTGGAAGAATAGAAAGCCAGGTCTCACATGTTTGCAGGAATATTAGAGAAAATGATAGGTTGTCTGACTTCACACCAGGCCGTGAGCATCTTGCATTTTGCTGCTGTTTTGGTGGTTGAACTGCCTGCCCCAGGTAGCCTGTGTAGCAGTCAGGGCCACTGTCCCTCCAGACCTTCTCCAGGCCTCACACACATGACACTTAATAGGATGGTTTGTACACAAAAAGGGAGGATGAGATTCTATTATTCTACAGGTTTCTGTGCAACTTGTCATCTCACAGACCAGGACACCCCACAGCCAGGAGCTGGGGCCTCGCTCACTCTCATGGTGTCCCATAAAAGAGGCCACCTGCCACAGCAGTGCAGTGTTTCAATGCTGTTGGGCCTTGACATGAGCAGCTTGTGGAGTGGAGGTGCAGGGACCTCTGAACCTGGGATTTGCCCTGGGAAGCGATTTAGTGTCCTGGAGGGGAGGAAAGGGGTGGGAGAAATTGGGGGAGGCTGTTAAGGGTCCTAGGCTGCTCCACGTGGGAGCCTTGGTCGGTGTCTGGAGGTTGAAGGTGAGGGGTTTCAGAGGAGGGTCTGTGGGGACACCTGGGAGCTGGGGCTCATCACCACTCCCACCCTGATGACCCAGGTGGTCGTTTTCTTCCTCAGCACCTTTCTCACTTACCTGCAGCTGCTGGACACAGAGATGGAGTGTTATCAGGAGGTGAGCACCGGGAGTGAGCATCCTGAACCCTGAGCTCCCAGCACTGGAAAAACCTCAGCCTCAGTCTCCACGTTTGTCAGCAGGGAGGGTGGGACTGGAGAGTTTCTGTCCTTAACTCCAGGTCCCTGCTTCTCTAGGGACCAGAGCCTGGCCCAGTTCCAAGTCCTGTTACTGGGAGTGCCTGCCCCCCTGGTGGGCCCTTGAGGTAGTGCAGCATGAGAAAAGGTGGGGATGGGGGTCAGCAATGAGCTAAGGAGCTGGCTTGCAGGGTGAAATGGCCAAACTTCTCTGAGAGTTAATAAGAAGGGGCCCAAATATGCAGCAAAGGTTTGTTTCACCAGTTTTTCACTTTCTGTAAATTATATATAATTAGTTCATTGATACATGCACCGGCCTGCAGTGCCCGCCCGTCATGGATGAAATATGAGACAAATTAGAGGTAGTTGGTAAGACCGACTACTGAGTCCTGTGGAGGAAAAGGAACAGCATGGCTACTCCCCCAAGGGGGGAGTGCCTCAGAAAAGCCTGGCCACTCTCTCAGGGGGAGAGCACGCTGACCCCTAGACAGGAAAGGGTTTAATTTGGGTTTAATTTGCACAGGAATACAGGCACAGCTCATTAATCATTGTCAGGCAGTAAGAATCAAACAGTAGATAGCATACGAAGAACTATTAGGACTTCTTCTGAGTCAAGGTCTATCAGCTAAAAGGCTACAAAACTTTGGGAAACAAACTCATTTCCTCCTCAGACCTTTATCATTTAACTAAGAGCATTCTTGGCAAAGCAGGCTTCACAGGATTTTACATACCCTTTCTCAGGCCTGATCAGCCGGGGAGCTTGCCCTTTCCAGCACAGGGCGGTACCACCCTCTGTCATTGTTTCAGGCTTAAGTCAGGCAGAGGAGGCAGATAGCCAAGGAATTTTTGGAGACTTCTCAAGGACTCAGGGGAGTCAGGCTTAGTCAAAGCTGAGGGGTGAGGGTCCATCACCCCCTTTCTCCATAGCCCCCCCAAGTCCTTCCCTGGGGCCTCCCTGTGATCGTGCCTGTCTTACGTGATTCCCCCCTTGGGGAATCTTACCCATCATTGACTGACTGACCAAGCAATGGGGGCCAGTTATGGATGAAGTAAAAGGAGCAGAAGTGGTGCTCCTGCCAGGGAGATAAGCTTTGCCTCCTTAGTGGCTTATGGTCCGAAGGTCATTCACTCAGCCTTAGCCATTGGGCGGGGGGGGGGAGGGTTACAGTTCCTGAAACCAGGCAGGGCGGCTCCCAACAGTTCATGGGTTTTTGTTTTTTATTGCAGCTCTTCACATTTAGTATTTACAACAACCTGCTTTCATTACTCATTTCATATTGTTTACAGCAAGCACCTCAGCTGGTCATGCCTTTTTGTTTAACTGAGTGATGCTAACTTTCGTTCCTGAGAACTATGGGCAGTAGGTTGTCCTGTCATTGGTTTCTTGTCCTGTTCCATTGACTTTAATCCCATGGTGATGCTAAGATACACCTTGAGAAATGTTCTAAATTGCAGACCTAGCGTTTTTTACCTTCCTAGTAGAGCAACAGACCAATTCCCACTTAGTAACCAGGATTAATCACCCCAGCCAGAGCCAAATTTTATCCTTTGCCAGTTGATTTAAAGGCACGAGGGCTCCGAAATGGTCAGGGACAGGCTTACCATCCAGTTTGGTGAAATCCAAGTGTCTCCTGGTTGAAGCCAGTGGGTCACTAAGGATCAGAATGGTAACAGTGAATGGCGCCACTCCCATTTCCACCCTCGATCCCTGGGAAATGCTGGCTGTGGGAAAATCAGTGCTGTATGATGAACTCTGTTCTAGAGCACACACAGCTTCCTGCAGAACATTGCCCCAAACCTGCAAGGCAGAGTGACCCAGGGGACAGTGACTATCCTGCAAAGCCCATTCTACCATTGTATCAGTCCAGCTGCCTTAGGATGGTAGGGAATATGGGAAGACCAGTGAATCCCATGAGCATTTGCTCACTGCCACACTGTTTCCTATACAGTGAGTACCTTCACCAGAGCCAATGCTGTGTGCAACACTGTGACAGTGGGTAAGACGTCTGTCAGTCCATGTGTGGCAGCTCTGACAGAAGCACTGCACGTAGAGAAGGCAAATCTTCCCAGAGAGTCTATCCTAGAAAGAACAAAACACTGACCCTTCCATGCAAATATTCCAAGTCAGCCCTGCCACCCAGGGCTGGCCACCTCGGGATGGTGCCCTCTCAGGGACTCTGCCTTGGTCTCTGGATACATGGAAACCTGCCTTACCTTCAGGGTGCTGCTTTGCCTATTCTTGAAAATCACTTGACCATGTATGTGAGGGTTTGTTTCTGGGTTCCAGATTCTGTTCTTGGTTTGTGTGCCAGTATTACAATTTTAATTACTGTAGCTTTCTAGTAACTTTTTAGATTACAAAGTATGATGCCTTCAACTTAGATCTTTTCACTGAAGACAGCAAGTAACAAGAATTAGAGAAGGGCTTCTGTCAGACATGTACAGAATTCTAATGACTTGAAGACCAGACACAGCAGTATTATTTTTCTCAGTACCATGACAATACGGAGAACACAACTTTCTTTCTTTCTTTTTTTTTTTTTTTTGCAGTATGAAACTTAACTGCTAGTTCTGGTAGGTTCAAACAATTCAACTGTTACTCACTGCATTATGTGAAAGTTGTGAATCTGAGCACTGGTGCAAAGGCAGCTGAAAAGTATTTGGGAACTCTAGATAAGCTGTGGGGGAAAATTACTTTACAGAGGATATTATTTAATATAGATGAAATATCCCTATTATTGCAATGGATGCCTGAAGGGACTTTCATCCATAATGAAGTCAAGTCAAGGTCAGGGCTCAAGGCCTTTAAGGACAGGGTAAGTCATGCTTGGGGTCCATGCTGCAGACCGCCAATGGAAGCCCTGTGTGACCTGGCAGTGAGAACCCCAGGGCCTTCCAGCACAGTGGTCAGCACACACTGCCAGGGCACTGTGGGGCTGTAAGAAGTCACAGACGACCCAGCCCCTCTTCTGAGACACCTTCCTGAATTACTAGGGCAGCAAAATGGAGAAATACTGCCTGGAAAAGAACACGCCTTGCTGGAGTTCACTTCTTGTTGCTAATACTCCCAGGCATCCTTTTTTATTGACCTGTATCCCAAATCGAAGTGGTGTCTCTCCCTCCAAACAATGTGTTTCTGTTAAGCTAAAGGTTACTATGAGTTTAAAAAAAAAAGTTTGTAAGTCCTAGCTGGTGTAGCTCAGTGGATTGAGCACGGGCCTGTGAACCAAAAGATTGTGGTTCGATTCCCTGTCAGGGCACATTCCTGGGTTGCAGGCCAGTTCCCAGCAGGGGATGCACCAGAAGCAACCATACATTGATATTTCTCTTCTTCTCTCCTTCCCTTCTAAAGATAAATAAATTAAATAAAAAAAAATAAAGTTTATAAAGTAAAAAGTTACAGTAAAATGTTTAACTTCTTGAAATTATTAAAATAAATTTCTGCTGCCTAAGTGTACAGCAGCGTAGTGATGCCCTGGACCTTCACATTTGCTCACCACTCACTCATGGCCCCACCTACAGTGCCTTCCAGTCTTGCAAGCTCCATTCACAGTTAAGTGTCCTATACAGGTGTACCACTTAAAAAACTTTTATATTTTTACTGTCCCCTCTTCCATGTTTAGATGTTTAAATACACAAGTTCCTCTGTGTTACAATTTCCATTTGTACTCAACACAGTAACACGCTGCACAGATGTGCAGCCTAGGAGCAGCAGACTCCACCGCACAGTACAGGCGTGCAGTGGGCTATGCCATGTAGGTTCATGTAAGCTCACTATGATGTCTGCACAACAGAATCACCTGACGATGCATTCCTCATAAAGTGGCTCCATTGTTAAGTGGTGCACATGTGTAATATTTGCTCTTGATGACTTAGAAAACAGTAAGAAAATATTCCTGAAATAGAAAAATGGAAACATTCTTTGACCAAAAAAAAAGCTACACATAGCTTTAATCACAAATCATCTAAAGTAATAAAAAACATTGAAAGAATACATTCAGCTACAAGTAACAGGGCCCCTCCCCACCAGTCTTCCGGAAGGGAAAAAATGTGCTGCTTCTCACATTTCTCAGGTGAAAGGGCCACATCAAGGCAGCCAGTGTACAATGCAGTGGAGAAGCAAACTCCTGCATCCTTCTCCGTGAGCACACAATTGTAGATGTCAGTGAATCAGGACCACATGCTCACTGGCACTGCTGACAATATGAGGTGTTCCCTGTACAAACCAGACCTTAAATGGACATAATCTAGAGAACAGGGGAAACAGACAATATTCCCAAGTGTAAGAGTCTGAATCAGTTTCCTAGTGGACAAGAGCGCTGACAAAAAAATCTAAACTCTGATGGATCTTTGATGTGGGTCTTCTGAAAATCAGTGGGAAATCTTTATCTCTTAGAAAATGAATATAAAATAGTTGGTGGTTTTGAGGATACTTTTTTAAAAAAGATTTTATTTATCTTTAGAAGGGAAGGGGAGAGGGAGAGAAATATCAATGTATCGTTGTGTCTCATGCGTCCCCTGACTGGAACTGGCCTGTAACCCAGGCACGTGCCCTGACTGGGAACCGAACCGCGGTTGTTTGGTTTGCAGGCCCATGCTCAATCCACTGAACTACACCTGCCAGGGCCATTTTGAGGATACTTTTGATTGGAAGTACAAAAACCAAAATCCTAAACATGGAATAAAATATGGTGTCTTTGAAACTCCTATGTAGCTCTCCCTGAATGATAGCTCCAAAATCTGACTAATGCCTTCTTTGCTGCTCTTTCGGAAGTCTTGTGCAATTCTGGTGAATTCTAAGAAGGAAACATAAAAGGGATGAATTTTGGAAAAACCAGCTAATAACATTACTTGCAGGGCTACATCCCAGCTCTAGATTTTTGTCCTATCACAGGTCTCTCTTCTTAAAGTCTATTCAGCAAATAGTCAGAAAAAAAGAAGCAAAAGTAAAGTCCAAATGTGAAAATAACTCACATGAAACCATATTCTTTCATAAACTTGCCATAACAACTATTCCGACTGTTTAGAATTATGAAGAAAGGCTCTTTTACTTGAAATTCAAGAGAGAAACCTTGTCACTAAGAAAGGTAGAATATATATAATGAACTAGGGATTTATAGGAATTGCCACAAGGCCAGTAGGAAAATCCCAATACCATACTGTCGAATTTCAATGGCCTCTTAGCACATAATGAATAAAAATTAAACCTAAATGCATATTTGAAATACACTTCAACTCACCCATCAATCCAACAGGTTCAAATAAAAGTTTTAAATAGATTTAAGAATAAAATACTACCTATTAATCTTATATACTATTTTTGAATAGTACATATTCATTGTATAATACTGTCCCTTCAATATTCACAATTTCTTGTTTCACTCCTTTAGGCATCCAATGGCTGCTTCTCGTATGTGGCCTGGCTGGGGACTGAACCCACCACTCTGGTGTACCTGGATGATGCTCTAACCAACTGACCTACTTGGTCAGAGCTGGTTACAACTTTATTAATAACTCTTTTGTGCTGTTGTCTGGAACATTATACATGGATTAATTTCCATTTGGCTTTTTCATTCTACTTATATTTTTGTTTTGGTCAGTCAGTTCTCACATGTAAGGCTGTAGACTATTAGATGTTGTTCCCACAGTTTACACTCATTTTTACACAGGGAGTCCTCTCATACCTTTGGAAGGAACTGGGATGACTAGTCCTTCCACACTCCTTACCTGCGTGTCTCTCAGGTGTGCATCACACATATCTTTGAAGGGCTGTGTGACAAAGGCTTTATCACATTTAAATTCACAGAATTCCTCTTCAGTGCGAGTTCATGTATTTAAAAACCTGAGAAGACTATGTTGTTTCTATTCAGGGTTTGCTGTGTGATTTCTTTCATGTCATCAAAAACACCTGAAGCTCTTCAAAGTTTGACATTAATAAGGCTTCTCATGAAGTTTTTGTTTGTTTCTAAGGAACTGTAGGCTTCGCCACATTGCCACCATTCCAAGGATTTCTCTGATGCTTTCTCTTATGAATTCTGAAGGAAGAGGAGTATCTGAAGGCTTTACCACACTGTTGGCATTCATAGGGTTTTTCTCCAGTGTGCACTCTCATGTGGATTTTCAAGGTCTGGGGACGAGAGAAGGCCTTTCCACAGTCCTTGCATTCATTAGGTTTCCCTTCAGTATGAGTCTTTTCATGTTTCCCAAACCAAGATAAACATCTGAAGGCTTTACCACATTGTTTACATTCATAGGGTTTCTCTCCATTATGAGTTCTTTTGTGTGTTTCTAAGGAACTGTAATCTCTGTAGGTTTTGCCACATTGCTTACACTCACAGGTTTCCTCTACAGAATGACTTCTTTCATGCTTTTGGAAGGGAAGGTAATACCTAAAGGCTTTCCCACATTGTTGACATTCATAGGGTTTCTCTCCCATGTGCAATCCCATGTGTCGTTTTAAGGTTTGGTAACGCAGGAAGCTTCTCCCACAGTCCTTGCATTCATAGGGTTTCTCTCCAGTATGGGTTCTTTCATGTAACTGAAAGGAAGAGTAGTAACTAAAGGCTTTACCACATTCTTTACATTTATAAGGCTTCTCCCCAGTGTGAATCCTTTCATGTACTCGAAATGAACTGGGAGAAATAAAAGCTCTCTGACATTCCTTACATTTATAAGGTCCTTCTCCAGTGTGAGTGATCATGTGTACACGAATGCCTGAGAGGCCACCAAAGGTTCTCCCACATTCCTTACATTCGTAAGGTTTCTCTCCCGTATGAGCTCTTTCATGTTTTCGGCAAGAACTGGGACAATTGAAGGCTTTACCACACTGCTTGCATTTATGTGGTTTCTCTCCCGTGTGAGTTCTTTCATGTATTTGTAAGGAACTGTGAGATCTAAAGGCTTTTCCACACTCCTTACATTGATAGGGTCTCTCACCAGTGTGAGTTCTTTCATGTGCCCTCAACGAAGTGGAACAACTGAAATTTCTACCACATTCCTGACATTTATATGGAGAATCCCTAGTGTGCATTATCATGTGTCTCCGAAATCCTGTCTGCCACATGAAGGCTTTCCCACATTCCTTACATTTGTAGGGTGTTTCTCCTGTGTGAATCCTTTTATGTGCTTGAAGGGATGCAGGAGCAGAAAATGTTTTCCCACATTCCTTACATTTATACTTGTTCTCTTTATTATGACTTCTCTCATGTTTTTCAGCCCATTGACGATAACTGAAGGCTCTCCCACACACCTTACATCTATACAGCTTCTTCCCATATTTCTGATAGCTGTAACATTTGTGTCCAGTACATCTGACATGTTTATTCAGGGATGAGTGATGCATGAAGACTTTGCCACATGTGCTGCATTCATGTGGTTTCACTCCGGTGGTTTCCTTGTTCAGATTTCTATCTGAAACAAGAATAAAGTTTTCTCCACATTGACTACCCTCTTTATTTTTGCAGAGTTTCTCTACCATATAATTTCTGTAAAAAAAATGAGAAGTACACACAGTATTAACAATTTCTTTATTAACAATTTTTAATTTATTTAGATATTTAAACTATCCCTTCACATGAAAAGTATAGTTGTTCTAGCCCTGACCTGTGTGGTTCAGTTGGCTGGGTTGTCGCCCTGGAAAGCGAAAGGTCACTGGTTTGATTCCTGGTCAGGGCACATGCTGGGTTGTGGGTTTGGTCCCCAGCTGGAGTGGTGTACACGAGGCAACTGGTCGATGTCTCTCTCCCTTTCTTTCTCCCTCCCCCATTCTCTACAAAAAGAAAAGTGTAGGTGTTCTGCTTTGTCTCAATTGTTTACAGTTCAATAGAAGAAATGTTCTGCAAAGAGGATTTCACCCTTTCTATTATTAAAACAATAATCACATAAAAACTTAATAATATTTTATGTAAGCTATTTTGCAAACACTGAACATCTATGTCATACATAAAAACGTATTTTTGGTGAAAATTTTCTAATACAATAACTCAATTTGAAGTAGGGATTATTTGTTTTGTTTCCTTTAAAAATTTTTCATAATATAATCAGATCTTCAAATCAGCCACTACTTTCTACTGTGTGACTCACCTTAGTTTTCTCCCCTGGTTTTTATACAGTTCTTCAATGTCATGAGTGTCCCATTTTTTTCCTAAAATGCAAACAAGAAAAAAACCCCAAAATATTAAAATTAGAGAAATATTAGATTCTAGGTTTGTTTTTAGCTGTGACCATGCCTTGTTTATTTACCGATGTCCCACCTTTCACCAACCAAATCTTGGAAAAAACACCAATGAGAAACACTTGTTCTCCAATTGATGAATTGAAGGTAACTTTTCATCCGTACCTATGAAGGCCAGGTTCTTGAAAGTTTTCCGCATCACATCCTTGTAGAGTTTCTTCTGTGAAGAATCCAGTAAGGCCCACTCTTCCAGGGTGAAGGTCAGAACCACATCCTCAATGGCCAGTGGATCCTAAAACACCGCAAATATGTGTAGCACAGGATGAGTGAGACTGACAGCACTGGACGCCTAGATCCCATTTATATGACAGTCACATATGATTCTGTCATCTCCAAATATTTATTTTATGATTGATTATCATAAACTTACTCATTGCCTACACTGACTTCCTCATAAGTTAACGGTGTCACAAACACATGTTGCTGCTCTCTAATGGCAGAGACCACAGTATGTTGGGAAATAGCAGAATGTGATATAAATGAAACAAGTATTTTCATTTTAAGACCATCAGTACTTCATGAGAAAAACTCATTTCCTTCCTTATTACCACATACAGGCCTCAAAGAGGGAAGAGTCAAATCAATATAATATTTACTCAGTAAAAACAGAGTGAAGAGCTGAAAGCTTTTTCTTCCACTCCCAACACCACACACGAGAGTCTAGGGAAGCTGTGGAAACCCAATTTGTAACAAGGTCCAGCTGGCTGTATTGTCCCTAAATCACTTCAGGCCTTTAGTGGATAGATGCAGCTGGCGGAATAAAAATATTCTTGTTGGGAGGTTAAAATATTCTTTTAACTTGTTTAATATTCATCACAGAACTCTCTTTACTCTCTGATCACCTTTTCTGTAAACCCAAAACTGTTCTGGAAAAAGTACACTAGAAAGAAAAGATAAAGACAGACTGGTTACAATTTACCTTCCACGACTGAAACAGGATATCATTCATTCAACTGCTTTGAACTAACTTTAATAGGCCAGCAAGGTGCTTATAGCCTGAGACCAGCAGGGGAGGTGAAACTCCCATGGGATGCCCTTGTTGGGGAGCGTGGCACTGTGTGTTCTCAGAAGTGCCATGGTTACTATCAGTGGATTCTGGAACTCCAATGTGGATCAGCAGTTTCCTGGCGAGTCCTGGTATGGTAGACTCAGTAATGTACAGACAAGTGTTACCTGGATTTCTACTCTGGGTATCTGATCAAAGGCATTCCCAGAATTCTTTTTCCAAAAAGGGACAACTGTGAGGACAATTATCCTAGAGTCTATGAACATATCCTGTGGGGCCAACTGTCCGCCATTAGTAACATGACTGCCTAGTGTTTGATGAACTGTGTGACCCTGGGGCTTGGTCGTTTATCAGGAATGTCCCAATTAAGAGATGAAGGGCAGCAACTCTCCACTGAGACCCATCAGTTATGTATGTGTATTGTCCTCCTGGAAGTGCATGTGCTTCCCAGTGTCATGCATTCAACAAATCCCAAAGAATTCCCGAGGAAACTATCTGGGGGAGTGGTAACGTTTTCTACTGCCACAGTATCTTTCAATGGACTAAACAGAGAAGGGGCCACCATTCTGCACGTGGCATATACCACGGGACCAAGATTTGGCTCCAGGATATCACATGGACATATCAGTAGGTGTCCTCCCCTGGTGGGGTACCATTTCCCAGGCCAAAGGCATAACAGTGAGCTCAACAAAGGTAACGTGCTCAGTATTTATGAAGAGTATCTATTTTCAGGAGATCCCAGTACATGATGACAACTACAGTTCTAATGGCACATGGTGTAGGGCCTAGGGCAGGTTCACATGGGTAACTCCAGGAGGCATGAGAGGTCACTGAAGCCTCTACAGGGAAGGTGACTTGAAAGACTCTAACAGGAGCCCTGGCTAGTGTGGCTCAGTTGGCTATTGTTCTGCAAAGCAAAAAGTTGCTGTTCAATTCCTGATCAGGGCACATGCCTAGGTTGCCGGTATGGGTATATACAACAGGCAACAAATCGATCTTTCTCCCATTGATGTTTCTCTCCCTCCTTCCCTCCCCTACTCTTTAAAAAAAAACAAAAACCAACCAAAGAGAACCAAAAGCACTAACAGGAGTGCCTGTTTATGGCAATTTAAATGGTCTAGAGCCTTCTGTCATAGGGGTGCCTGCAAGGTGGGCCAATCTGCCAGTAACAGCACAAATGGGCTCAAGTAAAACTTGCAAACAAGGATATATTGCCTCCTCAGCACCAAAAGCATGGAGAAGCTGTCTGATTACAAAATCATTCTCAGGGACTTAACCAGGTATCGGGGCCTTACATTACGTTAGCTCAATGGCACACACACTTTCTGCAAGCTCCGTTTTTCAGTATTTGTATGTACTGAATGAACGTGAAATAAATGTCCTCAGAGAGGGATGTCATGAGCATAATGTCACACCTGTGATCCTGGAGCAAAGTCAATGTAGTTCAGATCCTGCCTGCAGCGACCCTGGGATGGCAAGGCGACTGAGGTTTCCTGGGAGGAACCAGGTAAAGATGTGTCATGTCTCTTAAGAGGTGAAGGCCAACTGCAGCTGAGAGGCTGTTCAAATTGGCACTGAACAGACCAGACTCTAGCCAACTCTGTGATAACGGGACATTTACCAGTAGGAGTCAGTCATTTCCTCCCTTAATGTTGGGGGGCTGGGTGTAGGTTTTGTCTACCGCTACCACAGCCTCAAGGTTATAGGAATCCACTGTGAGGTGTCGTTCATTCTTTCCAGGTTCAAGAGCAGACTACATAAGGCTGCTAAAAAAGAAGCACTGGGGATAAAGACTTCTTCCTAAATAGGATTCTTACAATGTTTTTCGATCACTCAAGGTCCTGTTTAATTCATTATGAAATGGGTCTAATTAACAAGTTAATATTAGTTGGGGGACAAAATAAACAAATAACAGACTCATAGAAACAAAAAACTGACAGCTATCCAAAGGGAAAGGGGAAGGGGGAGGAAGGTGAAAGAGGTGAATGGATTAAGCAACAAATTGGTAGTTACAGAAGAGTCACAGAGATTACAGCATAGGCAATATAGTCAATAACACGATGATAATCATATATGAGGTCAGGTGGCTGCTTGAAGCATCAGGGAGGGAGAGGGGACGGACCACTCTGTAAAGTACATGATTTTCTAACCACTTTGCTGTACATCTGAAACTAATTCAGAATAATGTTAAATATAAACTGAATTTTTAAGTTAAAAGTATAAGCTGTGGATAAGTTCTGTGGCATCTACTCTGTCACGCCAATTTGAAAGTGGTAGTAGACTTAATTTTAACTTATGAATCACAAGTTCAGAGCTTTCCCAAGTATTGGGAACTGCCCTGCCTGGTTTCAGAAGTTGTAACCCTCCATGGCTAAGGCTGAGTGAGAGACCTTTGGACCATGAGCCACTAAGGAGACAAAGCTTATCTCCCTGGCAGGGGCACTGCCTCTGCTTTTACTTCACCCTGCCTGGCCCCCAATGGATGATCAATTAGCCAATGACAAGTGAGATTCCTCAAGGGAGGAACCATCTAAGACAGGCACGACCATGAGGGGCCCTCAGGGAAGGGCTTGGGGGATTATAGCAAAAGGGGGTAATGGACCCTTGCCCCTGGCTCCTTGGCTTTGACAAGAGCCTGAGTCCTCATTCTGCCTGTAGGAAGTCTCCTAATCTCTTGGCTGCCTTACTTCCCCTGCCTGACTTAAGCCTGAAACAATAACAGAGGGCGATGTAGTCGTGTGCTGGAAAGGGCAGGTTCCTGGGGCAATCAGGCCTAAGAAAGAATACATAAAATCCTGTGAAATCTGCTTTGCTAAGAATGCCCTCGATTTTCTAATAAGGGTCCAAGCATGAAATGAGTTTGTTTCCCAAAGTTTTGTAGCCCTTTAGCTAACAAACCCTCACTCAGAATAAGCCCTCATAGTAGTTCTTTGTATGTTATCTATTGTTTGATCCTTACTGCCTGACAATGATTAATGAGCTTTACCTGTATTCCTGTGCAAAATGAACCCAATAAAAGCCCAATGAGGAAACGGCTCTTGGTCCTTCTCCTTTGAGAGATTGGCCATCTTTCCCCCTCAAGCAGATCATATCTTGGTAGACTTATTCTCATCCGAGGCAGACAGAGGGGGGGGTCTGTTGGCAAAGCACCCCCATACCCAAGGGGTATTTTAGGACAGTGGGTGACATGACTGTAAGAAGTTTGGGCAAAGTGAGAGTTCTGATGGTTAAGGCACAGTACACCTATTTGTCATCTGTGTTGCACACAGAAATTTCCTTAAGATGATGAGGTGAATTGCTTAAATTTAGTGGGATCCCCAGATATACCTGTTAAAAAAAAATCTAGTTTGATTAATTACTTAAAGCTTTGTGAACTAATCTATGAGAGGAGATATTACTATTATTTCAAACCAATGTTACCATGAACCAAAAACCCAACAGAGACCTTTCTTTTCTGTTATGTTAAATTCTTTCAATATATTTTGCATTTGCAATCAGGTCAAATTGTGGACCTTTATTTTAGTACCTTCCCCCCACCACCCCCTGTTCCCCAACCCCCATCCTTCCTGTTTTGTATTTTAGGTCACTGGATATACTTTGGAGGGGGATGTCCTGCTTATCCTGGTATTTTTCGTGGTAACAGTCACTCCTCCAGAGGGCCTCAGGTCCTTGCCATCAGGGTTACAAGCCTCCTGTATGACCGCTGGTAGCCTAACAGAGTTTAAGTGCCCTGGGCTTAAAGTGGTTGAGGTAAATCCCTTGGGTGTGCCACAGTGAGGTATGGGTGTCATCTCCCACAACTCAGAGGGTCAGGATATGTGTTGCAGTACAGACAGGAGCAGTGACAGCCGTGTTACTTCAGGGTCCCATGAGCCCTCTGATATTACGAGAGTGGACTCGGCCCACCCTGAAAAAATCACTCTTTAAGGAGTATGGGCTCACCTCATTCACAGGACAGTTATCCTCATACTCTGCTAATTCCCCCTCTGATTTGGAGGACCCCAGACTCACTCACATCATCACCCTAAACATACAGCAGGGTTCCAGCCAAGACATCAAACCAAACCCCACTGTAAGGATGGTCTGATTCCCATACCCCTGCTCCCAAAGTTTGAGCAATTACAACTTTCAGTTCCAAGTACTCTATACACAACCCAGGCTCGGTGGGTCAACAATGTGTCACAGGACAGCACAGAGCTCGGGGGCTCCCAGTGGACAGCCAGTCATAGGGCAGGAGCCTCCGGGGGAAAAGGAGGGCTGAGGCTTTGGGTTTCTGCAGTCAAACATCAAGCTTGTGGAGTCTGATCACTCATTATAAGAATAAACACAGGCAAGAAAAAAACCGGCATCTGCACAGGCTTGTTTTCATATAAAGAAACACTAACAGGATGATCAAGAAGTGTTCACCGCTAGTTATCTGAGGGAGGACAGAGTCAGGGCCCAGGAGCAGAGCAGGGTGAGGGCAGGGAGTCTTCTGGGGTTTGTTTCCTGGCTTAGGAGTTTTTACACCTTCCCATTCTTTATTTAAAATGAGGGAAGAAATTTAGGCACACCATACTTTCCTATACTTAGTCATTATTTTTAATTCACTTTTACCCTTTAAAGTTCATTTAATTTGAACTTCTTGGGAGTCAGAGGTCGAAGGCCTCTATTTTAGCCACAGGGACCAGCTGAGGCTTACACAGGACGAGGGCTGGGACAGGACCCGCTCCATCTTTCTGGGTGAGACGGGAAGCGGAGATGGGCGGCAACCCTGCCTTGCCTGCGCTCCAGGAAGAGGGGATGGGAAAGAGGGAAAGAGCTGTCAGTGCTTGTGTGTTATGGGGGGGGGGGCGGTTAAGACCAGGGCCCACCTCACAGTGAGAGTTTTCTGAAATGTGGAGTCGTTTGAGTCCAGTTAAAGCCAAGGCGGGGAGTTTCCTACCATTCATGAGATCCAGACAAGAATTAATCACATTTTAAAACCCTAAGTACCCATGGGAACTAGAATGCAAAGGGCTGCAATACTGAATGGAAAAGGGAATCCAAGAAAAGAAGCATAAATACTGGAATCAAAGAACGTAAGCAGCCTGCTTTTCTACAGTTCAAAAGGAAACCTACATTCATAATGTTTAACATATTCGCAGACTTAAGATCTAAATATTCCCAGCTGACAACTTCTAGAGTGGGTCAGCCCGGGGGGAGGAACACCAGAGCAGCCCCAGTAGTGAATTCTGAGCTCCCCCCCCCCTAGGCATGGGAGCGCTCCCTCCCAGGCTGTCAGTTCTCACAAGTGAGGGAAATCTCAGCCTGATTTAGTATGACTCAGACCTAAATGAACCCCCAAATTAACAAGTAATTTTGTCAACAAGACAGAACTGTGACCTCTTTAACAGACTTCTCCACATGTACAAATAACACCGTGAGTGCACCTATACTGTGGATGCAAAACTCAAACATAAGGTCTAAAACATCTGGGCCTAGAAAACCATAACCACAACTTAGGAAGGAGCAGTGGGGACCCCCACCCCCAGGTGCATGTACACCCCAGCTCCCCAGGGCCGTTGCTTCTCAGTGTACAGGCTCCTTCCATGGTGGGTGTGAGCAGATAGGACAACTGCAGGCAGAGGCTCCCCAGAAAGATCCACTGGGCCTTCAAGAAGTAACCCTTCCTTAGCTTGTGTTCCACAATGGAGGTACTTGAAACATTATTGATACTTAAAATTGACACTGTGGACAAAAAAGGGAGCCACATACTAAACCTAACAAGCTGAGGGGAGGCCCGAATGGTGGCCTGACAAACTCAGAGACCTAAAGTAAGGACATAGGATGGTCTGAGATTAAAACTTTTTAACTGAAAGCAGGCCATGGCAGGTAGTCAAGTCCCAGGTCTGAATCTTCCCTGACAAAGGTCAATCTTTACCTTAACTGAGCCTATTGTGTTTTTTGCACCTAAGATAACACAGCTTTAAAATGTCTGGGTGATTTCCTCCCCACCCTGCCTCACTACACCAGAGCAGAGACCACAACCGCCCCCCCCCCCACTTTGTTATTGTTATCATGTTAATTTAAGTGTTAACTATTCCATACCCATTTATGTAAAAGAAGTTTGCGTCTATTTTTTTACTTTTTAGCCAATTCACAAGATCCCTCCCCACCCCCACTGTTTTGCTTCCCCCTTCCCCCAACCTACCACCCACTGATTTCAAGTAATTCTTGAAAAAAATTACCCTCCTCCAAAATCTGGAGGAGGGTAAAGGACTGGCAATCCTCCTCAGTTTGGCTCAAATAAACTTGTAAAACTTCTCTACAGCTTTAAGCGTTTCTTAGTTGACAACACAAATCCAGTTTTTGAACAGTTTAGCAAAAATTCCTTAAACCCAGTGTTTATGTGGAAAAAGGGAAGAAAATTGTATAGCATTTTGGCCTGGCTGGTGTAGTCACCTACAAAGGGGACAGTCACCTACAAAGGACTTCCCATCAGACTGTCAGTGGATTTCTCAAAAGAGACCTTACAGGCAAGAAGGGGCTGGGAAGAAGTATTCCAAGTCATGAAATCCAAAGACCTACAACCAAGATTGCTCTATTCAGCAAAGCTTTCATTTAGAATGGAAGGACAGATAAAGTGCTTCTCAGATAAGGTCAAATTGAAGGAGTTCATTATCACCAAGCCCCTATTATATGAAATGTTAAAGGGACTTATCTAAGAAAAAGAAGATAAATATGAACAGTGAAAGGACAGCAAACGCGCAGTTATTAACAACCACATCTAAAAAGCAAGCTAAAAGGACAGCTAGATCAGGAGCAGAACCATAAAAATGAAGATCACATGGAGGGTTAGCAACAGGGGAGTGGGGGGAGGAGAAGGGGGGAGAAGGTACAGAAAATAAGTAGCATAGACGGTAGGCAGAAAATAGGGGAGAGGGCAAGAATAGCATGGGAAATATAGAATCTAAAGAACTTGAGACACATGGTCATAAACTAAAGGGGGAGAATGGTGGGGACGGGGGGCAGGGTGGAGGGGAATGAAGGGGGGAATAGAACAACTGTAATGGCATAATCAATAAAGTAAAAATTTAAAAAAATGTAGTACGGGAATATCTTTTCTCATAATCACACCTTTATTGCCTGTTTAGAAGTATTTTAAACTGTCTCTAAAGTTCTATACACTAAATAAATTTTACCCTTACCCAAAAACAGAGACTTAAGTGAATAAATTCTTTTTTTTTTTTTTTTTGGTGACAAATTCAGTGAAGGGGCAGTGTTGACAGGAGAGAACACCCAGGACGTTTCCAAAGAGGAATCTCCACCCAAAGGGCTTCCCGTAGGATGTCTGTTTCCAGGGAATATCTTGGGCGGTTAGACACGAGGTTTTGTTCTGTTTCCTCTCATGTAAAATATCCACAGAGAAATAGAACCTTTAAAAATATGAGCCATTCATGCCTCCTGGGGAAAATAATAGTTAAAATACTTGCTCTGTTTGGAATGCACCACGGAGAACATTTGACAGTGAAATGAATCGCAGAGAAGTTGGTGTTTGGGAAGGAGGTGATCTCACATTCAGGGATTTATTGCCAGTCCGAGGAAGAGCTAGGCTGGTGGAGGGGCAGGGTCGTGAATTTCAGACCCGGCTTCTCAAACGTTTGGAAACCTTAGGAGAAAACAGGTACTACTGGGTTGAAAATAGGGACCGTTGACCCCACAGCTAATCTCACGTACGAATTAAGTTATTGTCCCGATGACCCTCCCACTGCAGCGTCTCGGGAGACACCGGGCTGTGTGCTCAGAGCTGCGCAGAGAGGCGCCGGGGTCTAAGTCGCCGCGCAGTGACGCGACTGGACGCCGGGGGACCCGGCTGTCGGCCCAGCCCCCACGCAGCGAGCTGGAGGGGACTGCGGTCCTCCGGCGGCCGGGGGTTAGTTGGGTCCGCAGGCTACGGACCTGACCGCCGCGAGGCGGTCCAGCAAACGGTTCCAACCAGTCCCTCGTCCTGCTCTCCTGACTAGGCCACCGCACACTCACCATTTCTGGGGTTCCTGGGTCTCCCCGAGTTCTTCCCACGACACCCATGCCAGCGCAGATTACACCAGGAACACGAGATTAGCAAACCCCAGGAAGGTTGGAGAGAGCAGGAACCCACACGCCGCTTTGTACCTCACCCCACCCACCTGCCCCAGCAGCACCCTTGATTGGACACTTCTCTAGGCCCCGCCCCCTCATCTCTGATTGACAGCAGGCGGGAGAACGCTAAGGTCTTCCAAACCAGATGGAGCTCCTTCAAACCTTACCAGGCCTGGTAGATTTGCATTCAGATACAAACTTTTCCGGGGTTAGGGCTGACTGTGCCCAGCATTTTGCGAACACTTGGGCACAGAAATGTGCAAAGAATTCCTGATTGAATTTCTAAGTGGAGCAAGTACAGAACACAAGGGTGACGTTTCAGCAGGACAGGGACACTAGAACAAGAGAGTCTTATGTCCTCTAGGGGTCAAGGGCTTAACCTAAGACTGGGAGTTCACTTAATGAAACTGCGACTCTTGTCTAGAAACATAGACAATGAAATGTGACTTCATCGTCTTTAGTAGAGTCCGGCTCCATTTCAATTTTTGTTGCCTCCCAGCCTTGAATCTTCCACCTGTCCCTTCCCCACTCATTTTGTCCTTAAGAGAAAGTTGGAAGCCCATGCTCCTGAGTGCAAGGATTCTTCTCAGAATGTGAAGTGTGTTCATTACATTCTCCGGTGTACATTTTACACTGCAAGGGAATTCAATTTAGATCGGTTTTTTAAAAAAAACTGATTCTCCCTAAAGAATTTTGAAATGTAAATCACCAGAATTTCCCTAGGATAATTAATTCCGATTTTAATAATATAAAAAAATTAAATTGTGTGTAAATATGGGATAAACCTGAAAATGTTTTTCCCACCAGTTTTATTGATGTGTAAACGACTAACCAAATTGCATTTCTGTATTACCACATGACAATTTGATATATTGTATAGCAACTAAATTGGCTGAGAGAGTGTGTCTTAAGCATTCTCACCACATACACACACAAAAAAAAAGGTAACTGTGAAAATATGTTAACCTGAGAACTCTTTTTTTTTTTAACCTGAAACTCTTATTTGCCTGGGAGATTGGATTGCGAAACCCTTTGCACTGCAGAACAATGCATTTATTTATATATTTGAACAGTTTTATTGAGATGTAATCCACATACTGTATAGTGCACTCCATTAAAGCACACATTTTACAGGTGTCCAACATATTTGTAGGTACATGCATTCATCACTACAGCAAATGTGAACATCATCATCTCAGAAAGAATGTCCTCTGCCCTTCGGCTATCACTCCCAATCTTCCCAGCTTCCTCCTCCATTCTCCAGCTCTAGGCAACCAGTAACCTATTTTCTCTCTCTAGATCTTCCTCTTCTGGTCTGGCATACAAGTGGTATTATGTAACATGTGCTCTTTGTGATTGACTTCAGTCACACAGCATCATTTTTTCAAGGGATAATCATGTTGTAGCCTGTATTAGTGCTTCTGTTAAATAAAAGAAATAAGAGACCTGAAGTGGAGTCATTTGCTCCCAGGACAGCAAAGACTTCATTGCAGTTTCATCTCCTTCCAGGAATGTGCCTTTAAATCAGTTAGCCTGCAATTTCCTGACCAACACTAGCCCAGTAAGAGCCCTTCCTCAGTTCCCTTTGAAGAGAGTTGACCTTCCCTGAAACAATTTCTTCTTTTCTTTTTCTTGCCCTGCTCAGTTTCTGTCTCTAAAAGCTTTCTTTATTGTGCAGCCCCACAGAGGACCTTTCTGTCTACTACATGGGATACTGACTATTCATTTATCATTTAACAATAGCAATTAGATCTTTAAATTGATTTGGTTGATTTTTTTCCTTTAACACTGCCTTAAAATTTTTATTTTTAGCCCTGGCTGGTGTAGCTCAGTGGATTTAGCGTGGGCCTGCGAACCAGAGTATCAAGGTTTGATTCCCAGTCAGGGCACATGCCTGGGCTGCAGGCCGGTTCCCAGCAGGGAACGCATGAGAGGCAACCATACGTTGGTGTTTCTCTCCCACTCTTCCTCCTTCCCTTCCCCTCTCTCGAAAAATAAATAAATAAATATTAAAAAATTTAAAAAAATTAATTTTGATGGTATATGCATACCATAATAATCTACATTTTCATCATTTTTTGAGTGTGGGGAACTAACCCAAAGAGTTTGGAACAGCTGGGGAGCAAGACAGACTGGTCAACCCAGGGTTTCAGTGTGGAGAAATAAAGCATCAAACCCCTGGTTGAAAACACCTGTGGGGGTTGAGGTGGCAGCAGGAGAAACTCCCAGCCTCACAGGAGAGTTCATTGGAGAGACCCACAGGGTCCAAAAACATACACAAACCCACCCATCTGGGAATCCAAAGGGCCCAGTTTGATTGTGGGTGGTGGGGGAAGTGACTGAAAACTGGCAGAGAGTGGAGAAAGCACCATTGTTCCCTCTTGGACCCCTCCCCATATACAACACCATAGCACAGCCATGTGGATTGTCCTGCCCTGGTGAACACCTAAGGCTCTGCCACATTCTACAGCACAGATGTGCAGAGACAAAAAAAATAATGGCCCAAGTGAATGAACAGATCAAAGCTCCAGAAAAAATACATCTAAGGGATGAAGAGATAGCCATCCTATCACATGCACAGTTCAACACCCTGGTAATCAGGATGCTCATAGGATTGGTTGAATTTGATCGCAAATTAGATGAAAAAAATGAAGGCTATGCTAAGTGAAATAAAGGAAAATGTACAGGGAACCAATAGTTATGGGAAGGAAACTGGGACTCAAATCAATGGTGTGGATCAGAAAGAAGAAAGAAACATCCAACTAGAAAAGAATGAAGAAACAAGAATTCAAAAAAATGAGAAGAGGCTTAGGAACCTCCAGGACATCTTTAAACATTCCAACATCTGAATCATACAGGTGCCAGAAGGAGAAGAGGAAGAGCAAGAAATTGAAAACTTATTTGAACAAATAATGAAGGAGAATTTCCCCATTCTGGCTAAGGAAATAGACTTCTAGGAAGTCCAGGAAGCTCAGAGAGTCCCAAAGAAGTTGGACCCAAGGAGGAACATACCAAGGCACATCATAATTACATTACCCAAGATTAAAGATAAGGAGAGAACTTTAAAAGCAGCAAGAGAAAACGAGTTACCTACAAAGGAGTTCCCATAAGACTATCAGCTGATTTCTCAAAAGAAACCTTACAGGCAAGAAGGAGCTGAAAAGAAGTATTCCAAGTCATGAAATACAAGGACCTACATCCAAGATTACTCTATCCAGCAAAGTAATTCTTTAGAATGGAAGGGCAGATAAAGTGTTTCCTAGATAAGGTCAAGTTAAAGAAGTTCATCATCACCAAGCCCTTATTATATGAAATGTTAAAGGCACTTGTCTAAGAAAAATAAGATAAAAATATGAACAGTAAAATGACAACAAACTCACAGTTATTAACAACCACGCCTGAAACAAAAACAAACTTAGCAAACAACTAGAACAGGAATAGAATCACAGAAATGGAGATCACATGGAGGGTTATCAGTGGGTAGGTGGGAGGGGGAGAGGGGGAAAAGGTACAAGGAATAGGAAGCATAATTGGTAGGTAGAAAATAGATAAGGGATGGTTAAGAATAGTATAGAAAATGTAGAAGGTAAGGAACTTATAAGTATGACCCATGGACATGAACTAAAGGGGGGAATGTGGGTAGGAGGGGGTGTGCAGGGCAGAGGGAAATAAAGGGGGGAAAATGGGACAACTATAATGGCACAATCAAGAAAACATATTAAAAAAGAGTCTGGAGGTTTTGGTTGGAAATAACTGAAAAATATATATTCAAAGGTTTTAGAGTTTGCAAACTTGAAATACAGGTAGGCAAAAACCCAAAGTGTTCCAAAGAAAAAAGAAAAGTTAAGATTTCTTAGAGTAAGAAAACCATTTGCTGAAAGACAAATAACATATGATCTCACCTTTAACAGGAACCTAAACAACAAAACAAACAAGCAAGCAAAATAAAACCAAAGACACTGAAATAGAGAACACGCTGACAGTGAGCAGAAGGGAGAGGGGGGGAGAATTTCAGGGGGAAAGGGGAAGGGTTTATAGGAACAAGTATAAAGGACACATGGACAAAAACAAGGGGGGGGGTGAAAATGGGGGTGGGGAGCTGAGGGGTGGGCTTGGATGGGAGTAAAAGGCAGAAAACTGTACTTGAACAACAATTAAAATAAAAAAAGAAAAGAAAATAGAAAAAAGAAAACCATTTGCTTTTTTTAAAAGAAGACTTGTTTTTTTACTTCAATTCTATTTTTATTATTTATTTTTCTCTTTTTTATTTTTCACTTACAGTCAACATTCAATCAGTTGACCATAAAAGTACGGGTTTATTTCTCAAATCTCAATCTGTTCCTCAGCCCATGGGTCTGTGTGTCAGTACTGCACTCTTATGACTACCGTTGTGTATTACGAAAATCTTGAAATCAGGAAACGTAGACCTATCATTTTGTTTTTCTTTTTCAAGATTGCTTTGGCTATTCTGGTTCTCTTTAAATCCTATATAATTTTATAAAACAGCTTGAGAATTTGTATAAAGGCATACGCTGAGGGCATGGCAGGGATTGTGTTGATTTTCTAGATCATCTGGAAAATAGTGCCATTTCAACAATGTTAAGTTTTCTGATCCATGAAGTTGGGGTATTTTCTCTTTTATTAAATAATTTCTTTAGTATATGATTTGTAATTTTCAGAGTATTCATTTGGTACTTCTTTTGTTACATTTATTCCTAAGGATTTTATTCCTTTTTATTTTATTGTACATGCATTTCCTTTCTTTATCAATCTGTTCACTATAAGTGTATACAATTTATTTTTATACTTTGTTCTTATATCCCACAAATTGGCTGAATTCAATGATCAGTTCCAGTAGTGTTTTCAGTGGGTTTTTTAGAGTTTTCTATATACAATATATCTCATCTGGAAGTCAAGATAGCTTTACATCTTCCTAATCAGTCTGCATTTTCACCCTTTTTCTTGCCCAATGGTTCTGACTCAAATTTCTAGTAAGTTGTTGAATAGAGTGACAGGAGTAGACAATATTTATTCCTGTTTTCGAGGTGAA